AATGAGTTATTATTACTGTGTTTACTGTTATTCTTATATGTAAACATAGATAATATAAAAATAATGATTCGAAATTCACACTGTAAAGAAATGTATAACACTTAAAATGAAATATAAAAGTATATGAATATAAATAAAATAAAATCACTAAAATTATTATTTTAAAATCAAAGTTAATTTTTTCTCATAATTTCAACAGTTAATAGTTTCAACAGTTAATTAACAGCCTCCATAAATATATGGATGCACAAATAATTTATTTTTTATGCATTGGTTTTCACTAGTTTGGCCATTATAAAATAAATATATTTTGTAAAAGTGTGATAAATCTCACTGACCGGAAAAATATTCAATGCGGGCCGCGGGTTGGCCATCCCTGTTCTACGGGAAGGACGGAATTTAAGTTGAATGCGACATTCAGACACCTTGAAGAGGAGGAAGGACGGAATTTAAGTTGAATGCGACATTCAGACATTGATATCCATCCGTCTATCCATCAATCCATCCATAAAATACATCCACCTTCAAGAGGATGGATGGATTTTAAATTGAATGCGATGTTGGATTTTAAGTTGTGACAATTTAACTGAATGTTAGGATTCTGACTGATGTAGTTTACAAGGACTAACAACTTAAGGCTAAAAGTGCAGCAAATCAGAAGTCTTTTTGGCCATATGATGCATTCAACTTAGATTTAACTCATCTTCTTGACTGTAAGTCACAACAAGACGCATTTTTAAACAATAAGAAATCTGAATCTCTTAATACTTTAAGCCACTAGTTCCCCATAGGGGGCGCAGTGCACCTTCTACGGCGAAATGGAACTTTAAGATATATATATAATTCAAAAGTAATTTTGTTAATGAAAATTTTAAAAAAATATTTCATTAATATGCCATACATTTATATCACTCTCAATTACAGTATAAGAAAATAAGTTTCCAATCAGAAAGTACTTCAGGGCTTTTTTTAAAAATATTTAAATAAATATGTAAACTTTTAAAATTGGGCCAAATGATAATAACTGTGTTTTTTTTCCAAGGTATTCAATAACGAAAATGTTAGCATCATGTTGACTGCCATCAAAGATTGTATGAACACAATAGTCCACGAATCTGAATCGAATTTGAAAAACACAACCGAAGAAATTTCAAAATTTCTCAAAAATAACCACAACATAACGAAGAGCCAACTGGAATCTACTGTCATGGAATATTTAAACAGGTACGAGCAATACAGAATCTCGGCCTGCGAATCACTGTTATTCCAGACTGCAAACATCGAGAAACAACTACTAGACTTATTCCTGTTCCTGGAAAGACAACTAGTCGACGTGCAAGCCGTGGACGAAACCCTGAGATTTTTCAACAGGAAGTTTGTCCATTTCGAGCAGAAGTGCGACAAGAGGTGGGAAGATTCTTGCAACCAGTATCTCGTGACTTGCCACCGCGTGCAGGACACTCAGGACAGCATGGATCGCAGTTCTTGCAGGATGTCCAATGTCTCCTTATACCTCAACCAGCATTCTGAAGAACTGGTAAACTTGCTGAAAGACTTCGGAGTTCTGGACCAGACTGTCAAAGTCGTCATGGCATCTGGAGAACTGGAAGCCCAAAGGAAAGAACAAGTGGAAGAAGCTTGTCTCTTGATGGAAGAACTGGAACAAAGGGTGTTCAAGATAGAAGATGTCTACAGATTCAACATACGATGTATTCTTGAACTGATAGAGAAGCCTGGCAAGAGATTGGAATCTCTGCTCCAGTACATCGAGGAGTTGGGTGTTCTGAGCGATTTCGTGAAGAACATAACAAAGTCGTACGAAAATATAATTTCTTTGCCGTCAACTAGTATCTCCCCATCAGAAAATAACACTACCACCCAGTTATGTTCTCTCGAAGAAACGAAAGACACTGATTCTTGTAGAGATGAAGATGATTCTTGTCAAGATGGAGACGGAACATCTCAAATTTCTTTTTGGACTGATAATTCTATGACCCTGCAGACTCAAAACAGAACTGACAAAGATGTTTCACCCAAAATAATAATATCGATGCTTAACAAAGCTATCAAGAAAACAGCTTCAGAAATGTCTAAAGGTTTCCATGTCCCGTCACTTAAAAAACTCTCGAAAGATCAAATTACAGAAAATTATACTCCTTCACAATCTGAAGTAAGAAAACAGAATTTTTTTTTTTTCGGTATTCAGCATTTTAATTTATTGTATTAATTCAATTCTATCAATTATTAATTAAGGTTTTCATTTTTTTTTTATGCAGCAAATCAATGGACAATGTTTCTGAAATAAGAAGTAAAATAAGTAATTGTACGCATAATATGAAATTATTATATAAATTAATTATAGCTATGAAATTACAAAATTATAAATTTACATTATCTCTAATGGACAAAAAATATTGTTTTAATTACATTTAAATTAATTAAATATGTAGTGTTGTCCGTTCGAGCAGGCCCCACGTTGGTTGATTGCCCCAGATTGAGTGTGGTCGGTTGTGCAGCTGTATTGTAACTGGGTGTGGTTGAACCTTGAGACAGGTTTGAGAACACACAGCTTTATTTACACGCGCACAAACACCACATACACATATAATTAAAACATACAATATTTAACAAGTTTAAAAACATGTAGGCCAACTGTTACACAGTGTTGCGTTGAATATATTTTCCTCTCGGGATGAGAGATTAAAAACTAAACGTTTCTCAGCCGGAACACCGGTTGCGCTGTCCTTCCTCTCGGATGAGAGTCTCGAGGCCTACTGATCATTTCTGCTGAACGCCACAGGGGGCGCTCTTGCAGTAAGTAAGTGGAAACACGGTTACAAATACAAATTGCACAGAAATCTTATTAATATGTAGTACATTGGTTCTATTAAAAGGAAACAATAATTTTAGTCTTAAAACCCATAAAATAAGAATTACTTCTTCTCCTTAAAAGCTAATTGGTACTTCTTTTCCTTAAAAGGTAATTGGTATATCTTTCTTTCGTTATCTTCCTATGAAGATTATATCATAAATGTAGACTTCGGCCGCTTGCAATAGATTCATCCCGACCGAGCCCACAGTTTTTGTAGACTTAGGCCGCTTGCAAAAGACGCATCCGCCGAAACCCCAATTTATGTAGATTTACACCGGTTTCAACTGATGCATCCCGTCCGAACCTACAGTTTTGTTAGACTTCTCTACCAGTCTAACAGTGGTTGTACTTTTGCAGTGGGTGTCTAGGGGTGTATTTCCAAACACATCAACGAAGCGTTGGTTTTCTCTCAACAACACATATTTAATGAATATATTTACATTAATTGTTAATCATTCACAACCATTTTCTACCGCTGCTTGACGCAGCGCGTTGCAGTTTCGCCATCTCCCAGCGTTCTTCTCTCGCGCCCAACTACGGGGTTTCTTCCCTTCTTCCAGGGCCAGAGTTCAAGGTCCAATACTGCCACTACATGGCAAAAGGTTGGTGTGAAAGACACATAGTCCGTGATGTGTTTCCATCTGGTACTTAGCAGGTAAACAAATCCTACATTAATGTCCAAAAAATTATTTCAAATCATAGAAGACAACAGTCATTGAAATTCTTTTTTTTAAAGCAACAGTAATTAGTTTTACAATTCAGTTGTTTAAGAATATATTTGCTTAAATTAAAATTGGTTTAAATATCCTTTTTGTCCAAATGAATTACAATTAGCAATTAACTAAAATTTAAATATTTTTCACTTATTTCAATTGAAACAAACTCTTGAAATTAACTCTGAGATTTGCAATTAAGATAAATACATGTCTCAGGAAACAAAGGTGACGAATTTTAGAAATATTTTACTAAAAGTCAATGTTTGTGGATCAATTAAATTTGGATTTGAAAACTATTATTCAAATTTGCTGTCTCTTCTTTCAGGTGAATAACCCCACCACCTGGAGTCTGCTGAGTTCTGCGACCAATCTGAACGACATCAACAGCGACTGTCTCATTCCCAGGTCTGACCAATCGTCATCGTGTGACGACGAGCGCTAAATGGCAAACATGAATGGATAAAATAGTTCCAATTATTAAAATTCATTTTTTTTTTTTTTACTGTCTTATTTTATTAGAATTATTTTGGTTGATTTCGAAACGAATTTACTGAAAAAAGTTTCAGGTCAGTCTTCTTTTTTTAGAGTTTATATGAGATCAACTTGCCTGCTTAAATTGTCATTTTCCGCATAAATGAATTTGGTCTGCAGCTGATGGCTATTTTATTATTAAGTTATAAAAACTACAATGTGTAGGTTTGCAATGTGTAGGTTTTACAATGTGTAGGTTTGCAAATAAAATATATAGTGTGTAGGTTTTGCAACTGGATCGTAATTGGGTGTGGTTGGCTTGAAATACTTAAGGCACAGGTTGGACAACTCGCAGCTTTATTGATACACGCACAAATCACAATATTTAACACATTTAAAGACATAATTATAGATTCGACTAAGAATTCTACTTCTAAGCCGAAAACCCGATACTCAGGTTCGCGGAGGAAGCGCGTAATATATTTTCTCTCCGGATGAGAGTCTGTAGGTCAACTATTACGCAGGTTGCATTAAATATATTTCCTCTCGTTATGAGAGACAGATCAACTAAACGTTTCTCAACGGCAGTGCATGTTGTACGTCCTTTTGGGCTAGAGTCTCGAAGCAACAATATTTACAATATTTGTTGTTGTTGTTGTTTGTTGTTTCTTATCCCACTTGGCTGGCCAAGCCCACGAGCCCATATGGACTCATGGTTGAAGGGGAAGGAAGCAGTTTCTGTTGTGATGGAGCACCCCGTAGGTAGAAGCCTGACTTTTGCTCCGTGACGCTCTTACAGTCATAGAAGACCAGGACCTACGGCTTAAAGTGGATTCCGAACCACTACAAACATCCATGGCACAGCCGGGATTCGAACCCGAAACCTGTGACACCGAGCGCCAGAGCGCTAGACACTCGGCCATTCAGGTCCCAAATTTGCCAACGGCACGCGGTGTTCCCAGGTGGTCACCCACCCAAGTACTGACCGCGCCCAATGATGCTCCACTTCGGTGATCTAACGAGAACCGGTATATTCAGCATGGTATGGCCGTTGGATTGATTGGCTACAATATTTGTACAATACGAGAGCAACAATATAATATTTGTAATGTACAATATTTTTTTTTCTAATTTCTAATTTCTTTTTAAATATAAAAATACAAATCATGAAGCAATTTATTCTGTATATGAGTATTTCTACTATCTGAATTAATACATCGAAAGTAACGAACTATACAATAATATATTTCACTATTATTAAAACAAACATTCATATTATATAAACAGTGAAAAATATTTCTGCATAAAATTTGATTAATTTTATAGATACAACTTCTTTAAAAACAACAACAAAAAAAAAATATTTGATTCAAAAGTCATAACGCAAATTCAATGTGATTATGTTTTACGAGAGGTAAATTCAATGTACTAAATCTGAAAAAAAAAAAAACCACGTGAATTAAACATGCAAATCTAACACATCCTTTCTAATTTATAATAGAAAATAATGACAGATGCAGTTTAGAAAAGATGGAAATTTGGCGTCGCCAAAATCAGTTGGCGTCGCCAATGACAATTTGGCATTGTCTTACCATCTAAATACGGTAAGGCAGATTTCTCTCCTCCTATAATTTACCCCGAAGACAGGCTTAAGTTTTTTTTTTTTTTTTTTTCCTTTTTTTTAAACTTGTTTTGCTTACAATGGCCTGATGTGGGATAAGGCAATGGAAAATACCCCCTCCCCCCAAAAAAATTTCCCCTACAATTTGTAGGTAATTGAACTAGATCCCGTAGTAACTCTCATATTTTCTCACCCGATCTCTGAATTTTCCCTAGATTCGTATTTCTTTTCCCCATTATATTTATACCTACTCTGAAAGCTTCAATATTAGCAATAACTTCTTTTAACTACTTCTAGGATTTTTTTGTAACTTATTTCCCTTCTTTTAAATACCTTTCACAATTTTCTTTGTCTATCTTAATTTATTTAATTCTTAAAAAAATCTAGAATTAATAAATTGTTTTTTTACTGTAAAACAAACTTTTCTTCCTATTTTTTTTTTTTTCTATTTAAACTCGTTAAGTAATGAGCAAATATACACCCACTCACCCAATGTAATTCCATCTACCAAGTAAATTAAGATCAAGATAGTAATGAATATGCTTCAATAAACTTCAAACCGATGTTCTTTTTTTAAATTCTGATTTAGTTGGTATTAATCATTGCTGCTTTTTTTTTTTTTTTTTATCTTGTATGCTTACTGGTAACTTCCGCGTAATGTCTGGAAATAATGATTTTGCACTTCGAGAAAGGAATCTAGGCGTTATAAGATAGATTTATTTAAGGAACGATTTTTGCACCTAGACAAGTTCATAAAAAAAAAAAAATTCTATAATTTAAAAAAAAAATAAATTCGTTTTTCTTAAAAATCTGTTCACTATCGTAGTTTCTTCATTTAAAAATGTTTCATAAATAAAAAAAACGTTTTTTTTTTTTTGTTTTTTTCTTTAAAATTTGTGGCATGAAATTGGCGAAATCGGCGTTACAGATTTACCTTTCAACTGGAGATATGACAGATACTACTGTGGCCAAAAAATAAGACCAATTATTATTTTTTTTTCAAAAACACATTATTTATTCTTCCAAATTTATTTCATCGCCTTCAGAGTAATCCCCTCCGGACACAATGCACTTATGCCAATTTTTTTTCCGATCCTCAAAGTCATCGGCAGAGATGGCCTTCAAAGCTCGCGGTGATTCAAGTTGAATCTCTTCAATCGACTCAAAACGGTGTCCTCGGAGTGGTCTTTTAAGTTTAGGGAATAGAAAAACGATATAGGTTTGTGGAACGATATAGGTTTCATTTTTGGCGAAACGTTCATGAAGAATCCATGCAGTGTGAGCTGGCGCATTCAGTGTTTTCGGTACCAATCGAGATTTGAGCGTTTGAGGCCCAAAATGGAATTGACAAATCCTTTTGAAATTCCAACATCATAAGCAAGGTCTCTAATTATATATCGACGGTTTGCAAGCATCATATCTTTAATTTTTTGGACGTGAGCTTCGTCGGTTGAGGTGGAGGGTCGACCAGAGGATCCTCGTCTTCAACGCGTTCTCTGCCTTCTTTGGACTGTTTATATAACTTGTAAGCATTTCTTTCCGATATAGGAATGCTCACAGAATGCCTTCTGAGACATTCTATACGTTTTCGCAAACAAAATTGAATGCAAGTCCTTTGCTCAATGAATTCAGACATTTCAAAAATCGCCGGAATCCGTTTTAGCGTCTCACAAAGCCGAGCGTAACTCAAACACTAGTGAATGTTTTGACTTGAAATTTCACACAGATGTCAAGGACAGTGCCAGCAGCCTAAAAAAGAAAAGCAAATTGAAATTCCATAAGCCCCGGAAAATTTAAATTGAAAATTTGTCTTACTTCTTGGACACAGTAGTAGTTTGTTTCAAATTGTCGTCCAAATATTCCGCCAAAATTTCTTTGATCCCTATAGTGTAGTGTTACCGAAACTAACATGGATTTACCATTCGTCAGAAAATGATTCAATTATTTCCATGTATCTCATGACGGTCAGTTGCGTAGCCGATTCTTCTGTTGATTTTGGATGATTTATTACTACTTCCACCCGTTCATCGGAAGTATTAATTCTACTGTGTCCAAAAAATAGGAGCAAGTTTCAATTTAAATTTCCCGGGCATATGGTATTTTAATTTTTTTTTCTTTTTTAAGTTGCTGGCACAGTCCTTCACATCTGTGGGAAATTTGACGTCAAAATATGGATTAGTGTTTCAATTACGCTTGGTTTTGTGAGATGCTAAAACTGATTCCGGCGTTTTTTTGAAATGTCTGAATTAATTGAGCAAAGAACAACTTGCATTCGATTTTGTTTGCGTAAACGTATAGAAATATTGCAGAAGGCATTCGGTGAGCATTCCTATATCGGAACGAAATGTTTAGAAGTAGTATAAACAGTTCAAAGAAGACAGAGAAAGCGTGGAAGATGAAGAGCTCTCTGGTCGATCCTCAACCTCAACCAACGTAGCTTACTTCCGAAAAATTAAAGATTTGGTGCTTGCAAACCGTCGATTTACAATTAGACATTGTTGTTGACGTTGGTATTTCAAAATTAAATTTTAAAAAGTGTTTCGGGCCTCAAACGCGTCAAATCTCGATTGGTACCGAAAACACTGAATGCGCCAGCTCACACTGCATTGATTCTTCGTAACTTTTTCTCCAAAAATGAAACCCATATCGTTCCACAACCACCATATTCACCTGATTTAATATCGTGCTACTTCTGGCTATTCCCTAAACTCAAAAGACCACTCCGGTGACACCGTTTTGAATCGATTGAAGAGACATTTCAAAAATCGCCGGAATTAGTTTTAGCGTTTCACAAAGCCAAGCTAACTCAAACACTAATGAATATTTTGACGTGAAATTTCCCACAGATGTCAAGGACAGTGCTAACAACCTAAAAAAGAGAAAAAAAAAATTGAAATACCAGATGCCCGGGAAATTTAAATTGAAAACTGGTCTAGTATGTGCAGTTATTATGTTATATCATGTAGATATGATATCATGTCTTCGATACGTGTAGGTCCTTTGCAATCGTCAGTCCTTTGGAGAGACAAAGAAATAAAGTGTGGATAACTGCTGTCATACATCTTGGAACATACAAGTAGGATTTGTAATATAACCATCCTCTCTATACCAATAGTAATCGAAATTTTCTGCGATCTACGTGAAATTGAATCTATTTCTTTGCAGAACATAATTGAATGCCATATTTCTTTCCTCAAACAATGAACAACGTGATATGGAAACTGGAAGTATGCACAGTAATGTTTTAAAAACGCAAACGCAGCTTAATAATCTGACCATCAGACACTTTGTTGCATCAGTGCCTGTTGTAAATTGGAACTGCATGGTGATATTGTAGGTGTCAGCCAAAAATATAATGCAAGTCACTATTTTGCAGTTTTGATGCAATATATTCAATATCAATATATATTATTATTTTACGTAATTGGAGTGGATGTATATAACTCAAAATATTAAGTTAAGAATTTGAAGTTTGAGCATTGATTTTTTTCTTACAAACTGCAAAAATTTATGTTTAACAAAAACAAGTAATATAAAAAAAAAATTTTAAAGTCAATTCCTACTTTTTTTGCACTCTATTGCAGAAAGTCCTTTATAAATAATTTTCATTCATTTTTTTTGAAGTTTATCTGGCGCTATCTATTGGTAGATTCATGCAACTTAAAGCTAAAAAAAACTAAAATTAATTAATTAAATTTAATTAATGAGTTAATATTTGAAGAAACTGTATTAACATCCAGTGTCATCCACTACAAGTTCAAAAAAATGTATTCGAACTTGAGTGGATGAATAAAAAGTATTTCATGAACGATTGAAAATTTTAACAAGATATATATAGGGAGAGTGTGAGCTAATAGAAAGAATTGAAAAAAAAAAAAAATAATTGTTAAAATTCAAGTTAAATATCTGGTAGGCATGGATTAAAACGTACAAAAATTGTACACATAAAGTTATACATACATGTTTGAATTTTGAACTTGATTGTTAAATGGATTATGATATAAACCTTCAAAATTATTTTTAAAAAGTCATAATTCTTGTTTATTAATAAGATGTTTATTATTTGTTTATATAAACATATAAGTATTTATTGTACAAATGGATTAAAAATATTGAAAGGAAATTTGACTCTTAGACCATTTTGAAATGGTTTGGTTGAGAGATTAACCACCAAAAAGAATTATGTTTTAAATTAAATGTTGAACTCATTAAATTAATTATTTTGAAAAAAATAATTCTAAAAAATATACATTTTGAATTCAACGCTTTGTTATAAAATAAATTATTAAAATTTTGAACATCTATGTTTAAATTTTAATAGTTTTTTTAAAAAATCACTTTGATGAAAAAATGTTGTATTGTAAATGGTAATAATTTTATTATTTCAAAAAGATTATTTTAGAATAAACATTTAGTTTGTTTATAGTTCCAT